TGAGAGAGAGTGAGTGAGAGAGAGTGAGTGAGAGAGAAAATCGGTGCGCTAGCATTTCAGTTTGCCTCAGTGATAAATCATTAATAAAATTTCTTAATACAGTTTTTGGGCAATACCTTTCGGAAGAAGCATCTGCTAACCACGAATTGGCCATCTCCAAAATGCTAGACAAACTCAGTTGCATTTCTGTAACTGATATGATTCTGGTAACGGACGTTTATACGGGTATTGCGTAGGCAGCCGACTTCAATAACTAATATAATTACGACAGACCAGCAAGGTTTCTCCGAAATAACTTGAGGAGCCCCGCATAACCTCCTGGCGTTGTGAGAGAATATTCGCGGCTATGACAACATTATTAACAGTAATTCATTAGACTTATTATGTATTGTAATGAATCTACTTTGGCTAATTGTGTAAATGGTTTTTCAGCGTTCTTGAAGTTTGCGAAAAATGTTTTGCAAATTAACCGCTAGATGAAAATCTATTTTTTTAATTAAAATAGCAGTTTAGCGTACTTAATTAACTGGGCAGCTGCTAGACACGCTTCTTGTTTTATGCTGCGTCATTCCTGTCGTAACTGTGTTACCTATTTCTCGTGTTACGCTATTCCTGTGATTGATCTTTCCTGTGTTTGTCTATAATGCATTGCCCATTTACTGTAATAATTCTTTCCTGCATGTGTTATGTCCTTCCTGTATTGTTCATTTCCTACGTTACATTTTCGTGTGTTGTGTCTTTTCTGTGTTGCTTGCGTCTTTCCTGTTTGAGTCTTTCTGTGTTGCATCTTTCCTGTTTGAGTATTTCTGTGTTGCGTCTTTCCTGTTTGAGTCTTTCTGTGTTGCGTCTTTCCTGTTTGAGTCTTTCTGTGTTGCGTCTTCCCTGTTTGAGTCTTTCCTGTTTGCGTCTTTCCTGGGTTCCGACTTTTCTGCATGGGTTACGTTTTTCCTGTGTTGCGTCTTTCCTGGGGTGCGTCTTTCCTGTGTTGTGTCTTTTCTGTGTTGCGTTTTTCCTGGGGTGCGTCTTTCCTGTGTTGTGTCTTCTCTGTGTTTCGTCTTTCCTGGGGTGCGTCTTTCCTGTGTTGCGTCTTTCCTGTGCTGTGTCTTCTCTGTGTTGCGTCTTTCCTGTGTTGCGTCTTTCCTGTGCTGTGTCTTCTCTGTGTTGCGTCTTTCCTGGGGTGCGTCTTTCCTGTGTTGCGTCTTTCCTGTGCTGTGTCTTCTCTGTGTTGCGTCTTTCCTGTGTTGCGTCTTTCCTGTGTTGCGTCTTTCCTGTG